GGTACGGATATCGAGTTCAAACGAAAAAGTCGGAAATTGGGAGAGAAGTTGCTCAAGAAGAAATCGTCAAGCAAAATATGGAAAGAGCGTGAGTGTCTCCTTCGTTTGGTTGTTCTCTGGGCTCGCATAATCGGCTCCCCCACTTTCTTCACGATTTGGGGCGCGGCCGCGGCGAGCGCGGACGAGTCGATAGTGCCCGCGAACTGTGGTGGTGATGCGTTTTCAAATTTACCCACACAGTTCGCGGGCACTATCGACTCGGCCGCGCTCGCCGCGGCCGCGCCCCAAATCGTGAAGAAAGTGGGGGAGCCGCAAATTTCTGAAATTTGCTGGTTCATGTCCTAGCCTCAGTGGTGTCAAAGCATTGGATATATCGAAATGTTTCCTTTTTTTTCCAGATAAACTACGTACTGCGGAGAAACGTGAAAAGGCGTTGCTGGCTGCGCATGAGGAATTAAAGCAACTTGCTAAAAGTGCTGAAACAGGTCAACATATAAGAAAGGAAGGTATGGAGCAAGTCTTCGAATCCTGAATAAGTCAAACGTTCAAACATTGCGCCTAGCAGTAAACGACTTCCACCATCTAATTTGGGGTTCATGTCGCTTATGGTCGGGTAATACTTTGCAGTTCTGTTTGGGCGCTCAGAACCCCGCTTTTGTCCAACGGCAAACGGGTGGGGTGTGTGACTTGTCACGTACTGCTAGATGAGTTTGTTGCGGTCCCACGAAATTCGCTATCGCCCGTCGAAACGTATCCGTTCTACACTCGAACTGCAGACAAAGCTCCAAAGTGACCCCGACTTGAGGCCGCGTTTATGGTTTGCTACATGGGAGAGTAGGATAGATAGTAAGTTCATAGTTCGGGACTTGGAAGGTTATGGTAGGTAGTAGAGTAGGATTCCGTCCGAAAAGATCAGATACCTATCGACTTGAAATCGCTGGAGAGAGGAAGACGATTCTAATGTAGTCGCGATTTTGGTCGATACTTGTCTTTTCAGCGGCGTATCACTCTACTGCAACCTTTATATTCTGTAGCCTACTGTCTTGATCTTCCAAGTCGCGAGCTATGAACGCGACTTCTGGTGGGGTCATTGTCCTGCGATTTTGCGATCGTGAAGTAGATACGTACGATCGTATGGTCTGTACGTTTCTATTCCACCTTGAACTGCAAGCCAAACTTTAAAAGTATGACCGACCCTAAGCTCTTTCAGTCCTTTGTTTTTGCGCACCAGTGAGGTTAGATGGAAACCGCTCTTGAGTGTGACTCTTTATGGAGTATACTAAAGAGAGTCACAGATCACAAAGTCACTCCATTCTACACCATAATGTGTCGCAACAGTCAAAAGTGGTTTCCGTCCAACCTCACTGGTGCACAAAAACAAGGACTGAGAGAGCTTAGGGATCTCACGCGCTCCAATCGCATAAAGGTGTCCGTCAGCGTTAAAAGAGGCGAATTCGTGGTACTGTTCCAAGAACTACAATTCGACCCTCGAGGGGCATTTCGTGCAATTATGCCGCCTACAATGAACTTTTTTCGTAGCTTGAGGATGAATTTTCTTACCTCAGAAATTCGTTGCTGTGAGAATTGGGATTACGAGAGGGGGTGCGACCCTTGCGCCAATCGTCATTATTCATCCTTAGCGACATAGACTCTTGAATTGTAGTTTTGTCAGAAACACAAAAGAACCTGTGTGTTAGTTGAATATGATATGAGGCCTCCACAAATCACGCGACTTTCGTACGTACCTGCGAGTCCTTTTTCATGTCCATTCTGTCAGTGTTCAAAATTAAGGTCGCTCTAAACTGAAACCTGATGAGGATATCTGAGATCATGTGTTTCTTACAGTGAAAATTGTTGTTTAGGAAGCAAATTTTCAATATCGATAGCTGTTCCTGGTTCATTTCTTAATAATGGGCAAAGCTCCGAATTACGCACCTACATGTCTGGCCAGGTACTAATAGTTGCAGAAACTTCATGTGCCAGATAACTGAGTTCAGCTTTTGGATTAGATTGCGCGCGCTGCTACACTATTTTGTGTGGATGATGTGATCATTTATGATGAAACATGTAAAATGACTCAGGAGTAAGTTCCCTTTCCTCTTTTTTTATTGAAGTCGGTTAACTGTGGTAATAATTTCCGTTTTCTTCAGAAATGTTGATGCGTACTGGTCTGGGAAGTGGAGAGGGGATATAGCACCTTCTGATTCAAATTTTGAAGCATGCTTCCATTTGGCACGAATATTGGAATATGTTGAGTGTCCGCAGTATTTGAGGAAATACCTATTCCCATTCCAAAAACCGTTGAAGTATGCAGGTTGGCTACTTCTCCTCCTGAATGTTTTCTTCCTGTTTTCACTTAATTATCAATTTTACACGGCATAGTGTGACACAGGGTGCGGTCATACTTCGCGACTGCCATGCATTTCGTCTGCAGTTCGAGTGTGGAGCGGATACGCGCGGTCGCAAGATCACACACAATGCGTTATCGTCCACACTCGAACTTAAGATGATCGAAAAAGTGCAACGTTATTCCAAAAGTTCGAGTGCTTTTTTCAATTTTTCCACTTAGCCTTAATTTAAA